TATTAGTCACATCTATATTAAAGCATCGTTAGGTAGTTATACCCCCCCCCCCCCCCCCGCAAAGTATGGGGGGATATATTAGGTATCAGTTTGTCCGTCCATCTCTCTGTACGCTTAGCTGTGCATCTGTCTTTGCAAATGTGTCTGGCCCCTTATCTTTCTTACTGAGGAACATTATAGTCTACTACTTCACACATAGATTGCGCATGACCTAAGGGTGTGTCATGACCTTGACCCAAGGTCATTTGGGGAAGTTCAAGGTCACTGGAAGAAAATTTCATAATCGGTGTCGTGTCCATATCTTTCTTATGGATAAACTTAGTAAGTTCCTATTTCACACAAAGATTGCTCATGACCTAAGGGTGTGTCATGACTTTGACCCAAGGTCATCTGTGCAAGTTCAAGGTCACTGAAAGAAATATTTTACAATTCATACTTGGTACATATCTTTATTATAGAAAATCTTGAATCTACAACTTCACACAAAGATGGATTTTGACCTGAGGATGTGTTATGACCTTGAGCCCAAGGTCATATAAGTTCAAGGTCACTGAAAGAAAAAATTCATAATTCGCGTATGGACCATATCTTGCTTATGCATAAACTTGGTAAGTTCCTGTTTTATAAAGATTGTTCATGTCTTGAGGGTGTGTCATGACCTTGACCCAAGGTCATTTGTGCAACTTTAAGGACACTAAAAGGAAAAAGTTCATAGTTTGTGCCTGGTCCATATCTTAAGGATAAACTTGGAGGGTTCTTCATTTACACAAAGATTGCTTATGACCTGAGGGTGTGTCATGACTTTGACCCAAGGTCATTTGTGCAAGTTCAAGGACACTGACAGGAAAAATTCATAATTCATGTCCGGACCATATCTGTCTTATGGCTAAACGTGGTGAGTTCCCATTTTACACAAAAATTGCTTATGACCTGAGGTTGTGTCATGACTTTGAACCAAGGTCACTTATACAAGTTAAAGGTCACTGAGAAAAAGTTCATAATTTGTGTCTGGTCTGTATCTTAAGTCTTTATTTTTCTTATTAGGCTGCACCTTTGTTTTATTCTTAAAAAATATAATGAGCAATTACATTGCACTAAAAATGTTTAAACATTTCTCTCTTCTCTTAGATCCATAAAATATTCATGATTTGGCACCTCTGAAAACCCTACTGGGGGTATTTTGTCCCTTTTGGACAGTTTTATAGATTTAGGTTTGTTCAAGTCATGACCCCTGGGGGAAGGGCAGGGCCATAATGGCTGATCAAAGTTTTACAAAAAATTATATCAGAAAACTCTTTAAAAATCTTCTTCTTAAGAATAGTAAAGCCATGATAAGTCATATTTATATGAAAGCATCCTCGGGTAGTGTAGATTCAAAATTGTTCAAGTCATGACCCCCCAGGGATAGGAGCCACAATGGCCGATCAAAGTTTTACTTGGGAATATACTGTAAAAAAAATCACATTAGTGATTTCACAGTATAGGAAAATATTTCAATGACAGCAAAGCCATGATTGGTCATATTTTAGATTGGGGGAGGGGGTCACAATGTATGTTCAAATATGAATAATGCAATAAAGACACGGGTAGTTAAGGACATTGGCAATGTTCCGGGCTTTTGTATTGATTTTTTCAAGAACTCTTGAACAGTTGTAATGATAAAAAAAAACATGTTATATTTTGGTACATTTAACCCACCAAGCCACCCTTTCTTATTAGATTTTGTCAAATTAATGTTTTTACAATTCTCAATGCATTTCTTATGTAAAATGTTGATAAAAAGGACCTACTTAATTTTTAGGTCACCTGAGTAAACTTAAAAATCTTCTTTACTCCGGGAACATCAAACAGTCAAACTGTTGGTAAGATTGTAATCAGCATTGAGTCCTCTACCAAAATTGTGAAATTCATGGCCCTGGGGGTCAGGGGTTCTAGTAATAGGGCGGGGCTAAACAGGTTGTATAGTAAAAATGCATTCTTCTTTAAAATTCTTCTGTTCTGCTCCTGGGTATTAAATAAACTAACCAAGTGCATAGGTAAGTTGAAAATGACCATCTTTTCCAAAATTGTGAATTTCATGGCCCCAGGGTCAGGAGTTCTAGTGCCAGGGCGGGGCTATATAGATTATATAGTGAAAATGCATAATTTTTTTGAAATTCTTCTTTTCTGTTTGTGGGCATTAAATAAACTAACCAAGTGCATAGTTATGCTGAATAAGACTGCCTCTTCTCAAATTGTGAATTTAATAGCCCCAGGGTCAGTGGTTCTAGTGGTAGGGTGGGGCTATATAGATTATATAGTGAAAATGCAAAAATTCTTTGAAATTCTTCTTCTCTGTTCATGGGCATTAAATAAACTTACCAAGTGCATAGTTGTGTTGAATAAGACTGCCTCTTCCAAAATTGTGAATTTCATGGCCCCAGGGTCAGGGGTTCTAGTGCTAGGGTCGGGCGATATAGATTATATGGTAAAAAATGAATTATTTCTTTGAAAATCTTTTTCTTTGCTCCGAGTATTAAATAAACTAACCAAGTACATAGTTATGTTGAATAAGGCTACCTCTTCCAAAATTGTGACTTTAATGGCCCCTGGGTTGGGAGTTCTGGCGTAAGGACGGGGCTTTATTGATTATATAATGAAAATGCATAAATTCTTTAAAACTCTTCTTTTCTGCACCTGAGTATTTTTAAATCAATTAACTATGTACATACATGTAGTTATGAGGAGGGAGGATTTTGAATTTCAGGGTCCCATGGTTAGGGCTTCTTGTGTTAGGGCAGGGCTCTAATGTTTATACAGTGAAAATGCTTGAATTTTTTGAAAAATCTTTTCCTTTGTTGTTGGGTATAATGCCAATGATCTTAGTATATGTTTCTGACAAAAACCTGCTTCTTCCAAAAATGGTTAATTTCCTGACCCCTGGGACAGAAGAGGTTCTTGGGGGGGGGGGGTAACATAGTCTGAAATAATTTAATACTTTGAAATCTGCACTTTGGTATCAATCAACAGCATGATGAAATAAAATTTAAAAAAAGTTCCAAAATTTTGAAAGATTAGGCCCCAGGGTCAGTGGTTCCTGTGGAATGGGGAGCTCAACTGTGGACCTGCCCTAACACAAGAAGCCCTGACCCAGGGGCCCTGAAATTCACTAAAAGTGGAAATGCATTTTCTCTTTGTTACTCTGATCTACCTCTGGGTATTAAGTAACCAAAATAAGCATGCTGAGTGTATAATTATGATAAGCAATGGTGCCTCTTTCAAAATTGTGAATTTCATGGTCTCTGTTTAAAACATGAATCAAATTCAATTGATGGAAAGTTGTGCATGATACTCAGGTGACCTATAAGGCCCATGGGCTTCTTGTTTTACCATAAAAATTTTCCAAAATCCAGTCATTTCAGAAAGTTTATATACTATATACATTATTGTATCCTCATTTCCAATCGTATCTAAATATCATGACTGAAAACACAAATTTAGAAACATGACACAGATCTACCAACACTGTTCATTATTTTAGAGTTACTTCCCTTAGAATTTAATTCATATTCATAATTGTAAAGACTGTTTGACTGTTTATGTTAAGTAATTTACCATATTGGAAACAAATTTTCATAAAAATATGGCATAGCTTTGTTTTATACTTGTTTACAGTTACTACATGTAAATAGTGTCTCCTTCGCACGACCTCATTCAGTTACAGGTTTTCGGCATTTGTCATATCTTGTGATTGTCCTGGGTATGCGGTAAATAACGGTCTGTTGACCACTGTTTACTGTCTGTCCCTGAACACAATGTACAACAAAACAATCACCATTTTTCTTTCTTGCTGTAGAGATGATTCTACACGTTGAAGGAAGCACATGTGCTTTTGTTTACCTCTGTAAATTACGCTTTGTTGGTTTTCATTTCACAGAAAATTCTACATGGGAGATCACTCTCAATCACAGTTTTATAAGTGAATAAACTCATGATATAAACCTTTTTTCTCCGGATAACCATGACTTGCCAATGTCCTTAAAGTAATATGCAAGCATCCTTAGTTAGTGTAGACTTAAGTTCTTTTCAAATCTTACCTCTCCCCTCTAAGGATTGGTTGGGACCACTTATGGGTTTAAACTTTTCAATAATAAACTGATTTCTGCTCTTTACCTAGCCAACATTCTCAAGTGAGCGATGTGGCCCATGGGCCTCTTGTTCTAGCCAATATGCTCAGGTGAGCAATGTGGCCCATGGGCCTCTTTTTATTTTTCTGGTCTATTGAAACTGAAATAAAATATAAATGCATGCTGTTTTCTTATCAAGATTCAAGAGAAATAAAATGATGGAACTTTCTCTGTATATGAAAAGAGTGAGCTACTTTGTGGAAAAATATATGAAGAATGCTGTAAATGTTTAATATTCAGTGTGTACAATATTTGGCGGAAATTGAGTTTTGAACAAGTTAGCGTAGATGTAATTTAGAGCAATTCTTATCGTTCTTACTTATGTATATAAGTAGAAAACATTTAGTGTTGTACTTGAATTAGCAGAAGTGTCTTTCCACCAAAAGCGCTAAAAAGAATACACGGCCAAATGTAATATGTTTACAGTATGCATAATTTGATACAAGTAACATGTTAATCGTTTGGGATGTCTTTGTGGTTAACGGATTAGCAATTCTGCATTTGATTGCCATCCCTAATTATTATCTCCCCTTAGAAGAGGGCTTGGCCCTTCATTTGAACAAACTTGAATATCATTCAACTTGGGAAACTTCGTGGTAAGTGTTTTTGAAATTTGCCCAGTGGTTCTTTAGAAGAAATGTACAAATGGTGTGTTGTTGTTTTTGTACTGTCATTAATTTGAAAGTAATAAATGGATTTAAAGTAGAAATCCACTGTAAGATACATAATTTGATATATAATTAAAATTGTTATTATGGCACATCCTTTTTCAAGTAATCATGTGTGAAAAATTGTGTTATGAGCATTATCTTTCCTTTTTTTGTTTTTGTACAGGTTTCTTTGGTAACTTTTGCTGTCTTTGTATTGTCGGATTCAAATAAGCTTGATGCTGAGAAAGCATTTGTGTCCTTATCTTTATTCAATATATTGAGGTTTCCAATGTCTATGCTTCCACAGATTATATCGAATATTGTACAGGTAAGATGATGAATTTTTAAAAAAGGAATCACTGCTTATTGTTTGGGGTATGCCAGGGCATAATTTGAATTTGCCTTTTCAATTTTGCTAGCCAAAGGTGATGATTTGCTCCTCTCACGAGAATGAGGAGAGGATCTGCATCCTTGGTTACTGAAAAAGTCACCCATTATATATATATTATCCAGGATTCCAAATGTTAATAATTTAATTTTGTTTGTATTTTGGCCTCTCATTGGTTGATTTTCAAAAAGGAATGCAAATTATTTTGTATAATCTGGTTTGGTATGGGGACATACCCTTGATGACCAGGTTAATCATCTTATCCATGCAATTCCCTCATTTCCAGTCCTCAGAATCCATGGAAAATAACAGATTTGATAAATGTACCTATAACTTCAAACAGTTACTTGATCTTACCTCATGTAAACAAACATCATGGCTGCTAGATCTATGTATCGGTTATAACCTCCCCTCACTTCCGTTACTACGTCGTCATCGTTAATTTTTCACATTTTCGACTTCTTCTCAAGAACCGCTGGGCCAATTTCAACCAAACATGGCACAAAGTATCCTTAGGTGAAGGGGATTCAATTTTGTTCAAATAAAAGGCCACGCCCTTATTCAAGGGGAGATGATTCAGAAATAGTGAAAATTTGATGCTATGATTTAAAAATCTTTCTCTCAAGAACCACTGTGCCAGGAAAATTGAAACTTATAGGGAGGCATCCTCAGGTAGTGGACATTCAAATTTGTTCAAATCATGACCCCCGGGGGTAGGGCGGGGCCACAATGGCTGATCAAAGTTTTACATAGGAATATATAGGAAAAATCTTTTTAAAATCTTCTTCTCAAGAACCACTGGGCTAGGAAAGATGAAACTTACCCGGTATATGGAAGCATTCCCAGGTAGTGTAGATTCAGGTTTGTCCAAATCTTTTTCCCCCGGGGGTAGGGCGGGCCACAATGGCTGATCAAAGTTTTATTTAGAAATATATAGGAAAATTCTTTAAAAATCTTTTTCTCAAGAATAGCAAAGGCATGAATGATCATATTTATATGGAAGCATCTTTAGGTAGTGTACATTAAAGTTTGTTCAAATCATGACCCCTGGGGGAAAGTCGGGGCCACAATGGCGGATCAAAGTTTTACATAGAAATATGTGGGAAAATTCTTTAAAAATCTTTTTCTCTGGAATAAAATAGGTATGAATGATCATATTTTTATGGAAGTATCCTCGGGTAGTGGACATTTAAGTTTGTTCAATTCATGACCCCTGGGAGTAGGGGCCACAACATGGAATCCAAGTTTTACATAGAAACATGTAGAAAAAAATCTTTAAAAATCTTATCAAGAATAGCAAAGCCATGATTAGTCCTATTCATAGTGTAGATTCAATTTTTTTAAGTCATGACCCCTGGGGGTAGGGTGGGGCCACAATGTAAGTTCAAATGTAAAGTGCAATAAAGCCACAGGTAGTCAAAGAAATATGCATGCATCCTTAGTGAAGATTCAAGTTTGTTCAGATCATACCCTCTCCCTTTTAAGGATTGGTTGGGACCACTTTTGGGTTTTAACTTTTCAATAATAAACTGATTTATGCTTTTTTCCTAGCTACATTGCTTAGGTGAGTGATGTGGTCGATGGGCCTCTTGTTTATAATCTGCTTCGTGGATTATAAAGTGTAAACTGACCCAAACCAGATTATACTCAATAATTTGGCCAAGAATTAGAGTCATTCCTTAATTAGTGTCCTAGGTATACCCAATAAATTAGAGTCTGATTCTTTTAATTGGGGTCCCAGGTGAAAAGCCACATTGTTTTCGTCTTAATTGTTTTAATTATTATTATTATTACACTTAACACTTTTACATTTCAAAGCCTTTGGATATATGTAATTTATGTCTAAACCAGCCTATCTAAATGTCTCCCGTATGTTAGGTTTTGTACTTCCGGGAACGTCACTTCCGTATATGCCCTATATTGACCAAACTTGTATGAATGATACATCTAAGAATGCACACTACTAGGCTTGCTTTTGATGTGTGATCTGACCTATGGTTACTGGATAAGTGACCAGGTTAAAGTTTTTAAAAGTTGATCCTTCAGAAGAACATAAGATCTATCTGAATAAAACTACAATGGATGATCTATCAAAGGATGAACACTTTTGATTTAAATGCTGGATTTGAAGTACATTTTCTGGATGAGTCAGTTATTTATGTTTGGATAAGTCTATTACCAAATATCTAAAACCCCAATCAGAATAAAATTGCATAAATGTTGTCTTAGGATGTCCTTTCTAGATATCTTATAAGTGGAAATTTTAGCGAGACGCATATTTAGCAATTTGTCCTTCTAAATTGGTATTTTATTTTTAGCGACATATAATTTTAGAAATTTTAAAAAGCTCACTAAAGAAGCTATTACAAATTAAGTACAATTAATTTTTAGCAATATTCAATTTTAGCGATCTTGGCACCCTAGCTAATAATGCCAAAATTAAATCCTCGTTAAAAATTCTGTTTATACGGTTATTATTTGTTTAAATTTGCAATTCATAAAGAAAACATTCTTAGAGATGAGCTCTGTAATCTCTGATTACCTCTTTTTGACATGGACTTTTGTTTTATTTTGTAGACATCTGTTTCTCTAAATCGATTGCAAAAGTTTTTGAACCACAGTGAACTTGATAAAGATGCTGTACAGAAAGACAAAGAGAGCAGTAAGTAACTGAATTTATTATCTGTTGAGTATTTTCACCTACCTGAGCTGAAAGTGCAAGTGAGCTTTCAGTGATGACTTGTTGTCCATTGTCTGTTCTTCTGTAATTTTTTTGGCATTTTTAATTTCCTCTCAAATTGTTTAAATGAAGGGCCAATCCTCTTACAAGGGGAGATAATCAAGAACATACAAAGTAGAGGATAGGGTCATTAAAAAAATCTTCTTGTAAAGAACCACTGTGCCAGAAAAGCTGAAACAAATGTGGAAGCATCAAGGGGAAGTTTACGATTTAAATTGGTAAAATCATGACCCCTATGAGCATAATTTGTTTTTCAGTTTTGACGTCTTAGAAAAAAGATTTGCTGAAGTGCCTTACTAGACTGATTACAAAGACAGATGTGATATGACCTAGCTGAACACAACATGTCACTTATTTTTTACCCATTTCATGGGCTCATTTATGCGATCAAATTTACAATTAATTCTTAATAAACCGCCACTTTTTGTAATTAAGAAATCATGGCGGTATAATGAATTTGGCGATGAATTGAATTTCCATCTTTCCAGACACAAGAAGTAGAGTTACCATTCTTAGAAATACCATTTAGTGTTTCTATTCTTATAATTATATGTTCATGTATATAAGACATGAATTTCTAAATTTGAAAATTCAAGTAATTTTTTTTATGTACAATTTTGTTAAAACAGAATGTTCAGTTATGAAATAAAGAAAAGTACATGTGTATGCATGTAAATCGGCACGTCTGATATATTAATAATAATATATAATTATAATAAATTCACTGTTTATGGCATCATTCTGAATGAAACGTTCACAATTTATACCTTATAATTATTTTTTAAGCAAACTTTGCATTGTTTGAAGCCACAGGCACCTGACGTTGCTTATTTTTCTTTTAATAAAAAAAAATATACCCATACCTTATAATAAACCGATTTATTATAAGGTATGGATATTTTTTTTATCAAAATGATCATCAAAATGATATCGTATTCGGCGTACTCTAACAACTACCGCTTTCGTGGTGAAGCCGTGACTTAATGATGTTTATTAAACCAAGAACAAAATCATTGAAACAGTTCATATTAAAATTATTTATTTAATTCTTATTTAATTGCATGTACCTTGTCTGGCTTTGCCTGCTTTACAACAGGGATAGCGTCAACCAATTAGCTGCGTTTCACTGACCGCATGCACCTGTGGCGGTATATCGAGATAATTGACACTTAAAAATGAACGTTTGTTGTGAAAACAGGGTGGGGGATGGAGGTATGCGAATTTGGCGTTATAAAGAGAATTTTCATTAGTAGGAAAAACGTTCTTAGGAAATCATGGTGGTAGTGCGAAAATGGTGATGAATCGAATGGCGATAATTTGAGAATTGACTGTACATCAAATTCACAGGAAATGAAAAGTTGTGCCATATTTTGAATAGTTGGCTGAAAACTCCCATTTATGTTCTTATTCGTTCCTCTCAAATGAACATAAATGATATTATTAAGGTCTTCCGTTTCCAACGGAAGAGCTTCTACTGATTCTGTTGGTAAAGATTATTTTTCTTTTTTTTTTCTTCTACTTCCTAGACGCCAACTTTGAGGCCTCATATCTCACTCATTTATCAACGGATTTCGCTCAAATTTTCAGACATTATAGACATTATTAAACTCTATCAGAGTGGTATCTAACATTTCAAAAATTCACTTCCGCTTTTGAGTTATTTCCATTTAAACGAAAATTTATAGGCTTTCGTTTCCGGATAAAGGCTCAGAGACCACAAAAGCTGGAGCAGAATTTTTACTGCTTTTAGGTAACAGAAGGACTGAAGTTGTGCACATCGGTTTTTGTTTTTCGATTTCTGTATTCACAATGGCGCTATATAGGGGTCAAAAATTAGAACGCCTAAAAGAGCGAAAATTTACACATATTTTCCTTTTTATCTTGAAAACTAAAGATATTTTGTGAAGACATAATGAACAAAAGTTGTGCATAATTGCAAGGGCTTTCATGTAATAATATTCAAAAGGGGCTGGCCCCTATAATTAGGGATCATGGGACCTTGAAAGTTTTTGCCTTATAACTCAAAAACGGTAAATATTTCGAAATGACTATCGACTATAAAGTTGTGCTTTAACATCTTACTGATCTCATGATATTGTTATTGTGTTCGAGTCTTGTTTTAAATGAGCTGGTGCATGACCTATATCTGCACAGGTAATTCTTTTCACTCAGCACGTAAACGAGAGCTCCTCATGCGTGTAACCAAAGCAAGCTTACTATAAATAATAAACATGGCTACATTGGATGCTAATATTCTTCTGAATAAAGTTCTCGAAGTGTTTGTGCTTTTTTCTTACAAATTATCATGTTTTTTCACTGACAACTTTCCCTTTTATTTCATTTTTTTAAAAATCGTATAAACCAAGTCTACTAAAAAGGGAAGAAGATATAATCTTTTCTTCTTATCACATAAAAGCAAACAATATAGTGAGAAAATAAAACATAACTAAGAGGCACATATACTATTCACAGCCTTTAACTGCACGGCTTTAACATTCACCTTGTTTGTTTACAATTATATAACGCGCCTCCCTCGATAGCGGCAGGGCAAAGTCGGTCACCGGGAATCAATCGGCCTGTGATCCAGCGACCTAGAGTCATACACAAAAAATAAACCACCACAGAATGGTTAAATTACTTCTTGATAAAATTGTTCCTTTTTATACTATCTCTGTCCAATGAAAATATTATTTTGTTCGTGTCTTACTTATGGTAGGAAAGAAAGCTAGATCCGTATTCACCGTAAACAAGGCTCCGTTCCCATTTTGATATTGAAGAACTCTTTATGCATATAATTGAAATAAACTTGCCGTAAGTAATAAATATTTTACCACACTGTATCATATCTCTTTTTTAAATTAGGTTTTAAACGTGTTCTTTGTTTCCCGTTCAGAGTATTCGATGGTATCATGTTCTTTTATTAAAAAAGATCTTTCCAAGAGAAAGAGTTATAGAAAAAAAAGTACGAGTATCTTTTATTCATTTGAATATAAACACAAACAATTTTAACGGAAACAATATACGCCCGGATTTCATAAAAAAAAACTTTTAAGAGTCAAATAATACACAATTATTTACTGCGCGATTCTCATATTCACCTGGAACCCAGATTCTAAGTGTTTTTACCATTGTGTAATCTATCTTTCGATTACACGCAGCCGAGAAATTCTAAAGCGACACACCGTGGTGAACCATTGACCCCGCAGTCATAGGCAAAATAATTGGTATATATATATACAAACCATTCTACAACAGTAAGAAAATATTATTTTCTCTAAGTAAATTAAATCTTTCAAAAATATCTTAAAATGTTTTAGGTTTGACTTTAGTACAAAACGCTGGGGCATTTAATTTATTTTACATGTACATTAATCAGTCTTCAATTCTTAACTATTCGTTAGCTCCATGTGTAATTTGACGATTCATAGCGCATGGACTGGCGATCTGCAGTTACTTTAATTCAACCAATATTTATTAAAATGCACAAGCTTTGCTCTTTTCATACACAACACAACACAAGTTTTCCGAAACACATTTTTTTTCATCACAGATATTAACCATGGCTATACCAATTTTAAACTTTTAAAGAGAATCTTCCGAATCGTAAGGATAGAATTATACCCAATGAAGTGGACTAAACATCGATAAGTAACACTGGCACATGTAAACTTCATAAGTGACTTCTGTGCTGCACACTGTCTATTAATTTATAGAGGTTTTATAGTAAAGTTCAAGAAATAATGATTTTAAAGCAATCAACTTAATTAGAGCCCCGCAAGGATTTGCAGGTGCCCTACAGTAATCACTCCATCTGTCCGTCCGTCTGTCTGTCTGTCTGTCCGTCTGTCACTCTTCCGTCCACAAATTTTCTGTTTTTTTCTAATAACTTTTTTATGGTTGCCCAATCAAGTTCAAATTTGGTATGGTAGTTCAGTATGCAGAAATACATATTTTGATGCTAAGTTTGGTTCTCTGTGTCTTCTGGTTTGGAGGGCAACTTTTTTTATGGTTGCCCAATCAAGTACAAATTTGGTATGGTAGATCAGGAGGCAGAAATACATATTTTGATGCTAAGTTTGGTTCTCTATGTCCCCTGATTTGGAGCTGGGGTGGTGGGGTAGATTCCTTAACCTTATTAGGTCACCTGAGTAAACTCAGGTGACCTATTGCTATCTGTTTTCGTCCGTCGTCGTGCGTCGTCTGTCGTGCGTTAACATTTGAACATTTTCAGCTTCTTCTCTGCAACCACTGAACCAATTTCAACTAAATTTGGCACAAAGCATCTATGGGTGAAGGGGAACAAAAATTGTGAATTTCATGATCCCTGCCCCCCTGGGGCCTGAGGGGTGGGGCCAAAACCACTAAAATTAATGCAATCTTTAAAAATCTTCTTCTTTACTCCTGGACATCAAGCAGTCAAACTGTTTGCATGATTGTAATCAGCAATGAGTCCTCTACCAAAATTATGAAATTCATGGCCCTGGGGTCAGGGGTTCTAGTTCTAGGGCGGGGCTAAATAAGTAGGTAGTGAAAATGCATTATTTCTTTGAAAATCTTCTTCTCTGCTCCTGGGTATTAAATAAACCAACTAAGTACATAGTTATGATGAGCAAGAGTGCTTCTACCAAAATTGTGAATTTTATGGCCCCAGGGTCAGGGGTTCTGGTGTTAGGACGGGGCTCTATTGATTATATAGTGAAAATACATGAATTCTTTGAAAATCTTCTTCTCTGCTCCTGGGTATTAAATAAACTAACTAAGTACATAGTTATGAAGAGTGCCTCTACCAAAATTGTGAATTTTATGGCCCCAGGGTCAGGGGTTCTTGTTTTAGGGTGGGGCTCTAATGATGATATAGTGAAATGCATGAATTCTTTGAACATCTTATCCTTTGCTCCTGGTTAAGATACTAATGATCTAAT